CCTCCGCCAGCAGATCGCCAGCGCGAAGGCCGTGCCAATATGTGCCCGGGTTGACTTCATCGATCCGGCGGGAGATTGATCGGCGGGCTTCGCGGTCGGCATCCATGGTATCGATGCGCATATCGAACGCTTCCGCAGCCAGCATGACGATTACAACGACATCTTGCTGAAGGCGCTCGCCGATCGCTTGGCGAAGCGTTTGCCGAGCGGCTGCACGCACATGTCCGCACCACGCTCTGGGGCTATGCGCCGGACGAGCAACTGACCAACGAAGCGCTGATCCGCGAACAGTATCGCGGCATCCGCCCCGCGCCGATATCCCGCGTGCCCGGAACACAGCATCAAGCGCACCTTGTTCGATCTGCTCGGTGCCGAACAGGCCGTCGGACTGGAATTGACCGACAGCTTCGCGATGCTGCCAACGGCGGCGGTCAGCGGCTTCTACTTCGGTCATGCCCAAAGGGAGTATTTCGGCGTGCGCGGATCGGCGAGGATCAGGTGGTCGATTATGCGACGCGGCGTGGCGTCGATATGGCACTGGCAACGCGATGGTTGCGGCCCAATCTCGACTAAACTGGGATTTCAGTTTGATTACATAAGTTAAAGCGTCGCCGAGCAGGATCGAAGTCATCGGTACGGTGCCGTAATATTTATGGTTAATGAAAATGTTGTCTTTTGCAACAGTAGGCGCGTTTGCTAACTACCCGCAATATTATCGGCACGTTCACCGGGGTGGACTGTGACGCGCCGCCTGTGCGGGTGCCTTGCGTCGGATGGCTATTATGACATTGATCAGCAATCTTGCGCTGATCGAAGCTTGTTGGGGCTCTTTCCGTCGTCGATCAGGTCGTCGCCTGTGTTCGCGATCGTCTGGCCGAGGCCGGCTCGCCTTGAGCCTGCGAGGTCGTCGCGGCGCGTTTCGGCTGGCATCGGGTGATGGGGACCTGATCCGCGTCTGGCCGATCTATGCTATCGGCTGAGTGCCGATCCCATTTCCATTCTGATGCCCGACGATGGTCAGGAGGTCACGGTCCATGCCATCATCTCCCCGGCGAGGGGATAATGTGCCCTGTTACCGCCGGGCGCGGGAAATCCGCCGCACCATGGCGAGCGCTGGCCGGTCTTAGCGGAAAGCGACATGCACGCGGTCGAGGCCTTTCGTTGCATGCGCGAGGGGCGTGTCGCCGTGCATTGGCAGAGGGTGTAGCGATTACCGCCATCCCGATCACGTCCTCTATCGCGAAGGGGCTGGCGCGCTTTGCCGGCCGGCGCATCTGCTGTCGCCGGCTTTGGTCTTTCCCGCCTTGGCGCGAACGGGGCTTGCATCCAGCTTCGACCGGCTGATGGTCGATCTGCGCCGAGCATCTTCGCGCCGATCCGTCCGCCACGCTGGGCGTCAACATCTCGGCGACATCGGCGCATCTGAACGGCTGGTGGGGGCGGCGTGCTGGCTGATCTGGCCGAAGACCCCTGACCTGTCGCGCCGTTTGGTGGTGGAGATCACCGAGACCGAGCAGATCACCCATATCGGTCAGACCATAGCCTTCGCGCAGCGCCTGCGTGCAATCGGCGTGACCTTGGCGCTCGACGATTTCGGAGCGGGCTATACCGATCCGACAGTTGATGGACCTCGGCGCCCGCGCTGGTGAAGATCGACGGGCTGTTCTTCAGCGGGCGGCACGGACCGAAAGTCCCCGCCACAGCCGTCCCTATCTGATCGGCCTGATCCGCGAACTGGGCGGCACGGTCATTGTCGAGGGGGTGAGACGCAGGCCATGGCCGATATCGCTTTTTCAGCGGGGCGACTTGGCACCGTGGCTATCACTACGAGGCGCCCGGCGGTGGAGCGTCGGAGGACCCACCCGCTGCACGGTATAGCGATCCCCAGAATGGGCATGGCTAAGACGGGTAGCCCCAAGTTCCCACCTTGATCTTTATCAACTTTTGTCAAGAGAGTTAGCCAATCCTGTCTTTGATCGGTTTTTCGAACGCGGCTTATGCTCGCCGCGTTTGCCCAACCCATGTCAGAAACCCGAAGCAGCCTTTTTTCCGTGACCGACCCCAGCGGGGGAGAGTCCGCCGATCTTCCCGCGCGCATATTGCCGCCGCCGATTTTCCCTGTGTCGGCGCTGTCGGCTATGGCGCGGGACGCTGGAGATTTTGGGCGCGCGGGATATCGCCAGCGCCTCGATGATCTTTCGCATCCACGACGTGCTGCGCCGTTTCGCCGAACAGCATCGCGCCGAGCCGCAATTGTTTCGCAGCCCGCCGTGGTCTTCGCCGGCCCGACCGAATTGACGAAGTGGCGTTCGAGCGGGCGGTGTGGGCGCGTATCCAGTCGCTGTCGGACAAGGACGTCTGGTTGGGTCAGGACTGGATCTGCGGGTCAGCCTGACCCCTGACGACCCGCACTTTCGCTTTCATTCGGTGGGGAGGCCTTTTTTGTCGGGCCCATCCCCATGTTAGCCGCCCGGCCTGCCGCTTTCCCCGGCCGGCGATGATCTTCAATTTGCACGACCAGTTCGAGATACTGCGCGCAGGGAAAATATGACGATGCGCGAGAAGATCATGGTTCGCGACGAGGCGCTGGCGGATCTCGCATCCCATGCTCGCCCGTCACGGCGAGATGAGCGAAGCACGGCAATATAGCGGACGCGTGGTTGAGGCGGGGTGGCGTTGCCCGTTCCACTATGCCGGGCAGTCGGACGGCGGGAGCCATGACCGCGTCCGCCCCGGTCGAAATCCCCGCAGCGGCGGCGATGCCTTTCGCATGGCGGCTGGGGCGATAGTCTGACGGTGATCGATCCGCGCGGCCGTCAGGTCGCCGATCTGCTCGCCTTCAACGCCGACGATCTGGATGAGGTCATCTCATCGGGGCGCACGCTCGATTATGCTGAGACGATCCGGCTGACCACCGGCTGGTAAGTTTCATTCCAACCGATCGCGGGTGATGCTGGAGATCGTCGCGGATACGGTGGGATGCACGACTTCCTGCTTGACGCCCTGTTCGGTCGATACCTTCGACCATTTCTATCCCGATCTGCCGCGCCACCGGGGCTGTTTCGGCAATCTTGCCGCCGCGCTGGAGCCTCATGGCGTCCTGCCTGACCGATACCGGTGGCGTTCAACTGCTTCATGAACGTGCTGGTGAATGGCGAGACGGGCAAGTTGGGAGGTCCCGCCGCCGCTGAGTGGGTTGGGGACCATATCCGCTTCGTCGCGCATATGGATTTGGTGATCGGGCTGACGGCGTGTTCGGCGCCGGCCTCGAACGGCGGGTCGTCTGCCGATCCAGTACCGCGTGGATCGTCCTGAGGGTATTCTCCCCTGTAAGGGGGGGCGGCAGTCCGAAGGACTGACGGAGGGGTGTCCACGCGACGGTGACACTTCCACCACCGCTATGTAGGGTCCCTCCCCCTGCAGGAGGAATATCCGTTCAGCGCTTGCACGTATCCGCAGGGCCCGGATCGAGGTCCGTGCAACGGCCATCGACGCCGGTCATCGGCAGGCCGATCGTCGCGGGCTGTGGTCGGCGCGATATCGACCGTTTCGACCGACAAGGGCTGTTCGAAGCCCGTCATCCCCTTGCGCCAGAACAGGATCGGCACGCGGCGGTCATAGTCCTGTGGCGAGCCATGGTCTCGACATAGCCGGACGCGGCTCCTCGATGGTTGTGACGCGCGGCTCAGCAGCAGCACGAGCAGGTCGCCCGATCGCTGGGGGATCAAAGGAGAACGGGCTCGCCTGCGCAGCGTCCGTGTTTCGGGCGGGGTGGTCGGCCAAGGCGGCGGCGATTTCGTCGCGGGTCAGCGCGGCGGCGACTGGGCAGCGCCTCGTAGCGGCGCTTGGCGTCGGTCAGCACCTTCGCACGCACGGCGGGGATAGCGCGGGTTGATATAGACATCGCCCCGCGCTCATCAGCACGGGCGACGTTGTTGACAGGCCTGCGTCGCGCGCGATCGCGGCGGGACATGTCCTGGTGCTCGCTTGCGTGACATGGCTTTCCATCGGCATGGCGCGGATCTGCTGCCGCTCGGTCATGTCATGCGCCGTGATCGGCGGTCAGCACCACCTCATAATCGACGCCGGTTTGGTCGAGCACCGAAGAAGCCGGGCTGTGGAGCGGTCGAGCTCGGCTATCTGATGCACACATCTGGCACCTGGGTGCCCAGCGCATGGCCGATATAATCGGTCGCCGACAGACCCACCGACAGGATGTCGGTCGCCGGGCCCTGCCAAGCTGCATATCCCGACGAAGTTCGCCGCCATCGCCAGCACCGCCGCGTCGGAAGCGGGCGAGACGCGGAACGCTTTCAAGTCGCCCGCCGCACGCTGGAAACGGCCGGTGCCGATCGTCTGGCCACCGACGGTGATCGGGCGATCGACTGCCTTGCAGAAGCCGGGCAGCGGCAGCGGCTCCTGCGGACGGGCGATCAGGTCGGCCACCGCCTTGCGCGTCCGCTCGACCACCGGCGGCACCGCACGGCCGGGCATAGAGACATAGGTCTGCCGTCCCACCACCAGATCTCGTCCATCTTGTGGCCGCCATCATCACGGCGGCTCGGTCCTGCCCAGCGACCGAGACGGTGCGCACGCGGGGATCGGCGGTCTTCATCCGCTCGCCCAGCGTCGGCACCTTCAGATGCATGTCCGAGACGGTGTAGTTATTATGGTCGTTGCCCGCGACGCTTTCCTCCTGGAGCAATAGACGATCTTGTCGGCGCGGTTCACCGTCTGGTCGACCCAGTTGTTGGCGATGATCCCGGTATGCGCTGGGCGATAGCCGGTCAGATGGGTCGAGTGGCCTGGCAGGTCTCGGTCGCGGCATGGCTCTGATAGCCTGAGGGAAGACCGCGCCGTCAACAACTGCGCCATGCCGGGTGAAGCGGTTGCGATATTGCGGCGAACAGATCGGCCGAGAACTGGTCGACCGAGATCGCGACGATCAGCTTGGGCGGCGTGGCGGGAAGGGGGGAGCGGCGTCGTCGCCGGACGGTTGGTCAGGCTGGTCGGCGCGGGGCCGGGCCCGGGCTTGCTTGCTGGGCGGCGAGGGGCGCCGCGAAGAGGGTAGCGAGGCGAGGAGCGCGGTGCGAAGCGCGACGGGGAGCGACGTCATGGGCATCCTGATGCAAAGCGTGAACGGCGGCGCTGGCGGAACGCCAAACGGGTATAGGGCAAGGCCGATGCGCGGTTGGTTTTACATCCTGATGACGGCGATATTCATGGGATCGCCGCTGCCGTCCCGGCCAGCCGATACCGCGCCCCTCGGCGGAGCCTGGTGCGATCCATCTGCCGATGCGTCTGGTGGCCGAAAGCGCCGTGCCCCGGGCCGGCAGCACGGTGACGCTGGCGATCGTCGCCACGCCGGAAAGGGGGGCACGGCTATTGGAAGAATGGCGGCGATGCCGGCCTGCCGACCGAGGCGCATTGACCTTGCCTCCGGCGTGACGGCGGGGCGAACTGCGCCATCCGGTGCCCGGTCGGCTGAAGATCGCGGGGTGATGAACTATGTCTATGAGCGGCCCTTCGCGCTGCTCGTCGACCTGTCGGTGCTGGCGGGGATGGCGCCGGGCACGCCGCTGCCCGTCTCGGTGAAGCCGACTATCTGGTCTGTACCGACACGATCTGCGTTCCGAGAGACCCAGACGCTGTCGACCCAACTGAAGGTGGGGTGACGGCGCGGTCGATCCGGCGACGCGTAGCCAGTTCGACCGCTGGCGTGCTGCGCTGCCCAAGCCCCCGGGGGCGAGGGCGTGATCGAGACGCAGGGCAAGACGGTACGGATCGCCGTGCCAATACCCGCCGGGGTCGCGGTCAAGGACGTCTATTTCTTCCCGGATCGCAGCGGGGTGATCGACCATGCCGCCGATCAGCTGCTGACGCGCCAGTGGCGATCAGGCGATCCCGTCGATCCCGCTGCTGCGGTCCCGACAGCGGGGGCCGGTATCGGCGTGCTGTCGATCGGCGACGGCAACGGCTCGCCTTCGCCGCCAAGCCGGGCGCGATCGCTAGTACGAGTAGTGCCGAGCATGGGTTCGGCGCGATCGCGCTGGCCTTTCTGGGCGCAGTGTTGGGGGCTTGGTGCTGAACATCATGCCCTGCGTCTTCCTGATCTCAGCCTGAAGGCGCTGAGCCCGGCGCGGGGCGGCGGTGACGAACGTCGCGCTCGCGCCGAGGCGCTGGCTTATACGGCGGGGGGGTGGTGCTGGTCTGTGTCGGCCTGGCGTCATCTCTGCTGGCGCCCGCGCCGGTGGGCAGAGCGCGGCTGGGCGTTCCAGTTGCAGGACCCGCGCGTGATCGGCGTGCTGCTGCTGCTGGTCGTCGGTATCGCCTTCAATCTGGCAGGGCTGCCTGAGCGCCGACGCCGGCCTTTGCCGGGCGGTCGGGGGCGATGGGCGCTTTTGCCACCGGCGCGCTGGCGGCGTTCGTCGCCACGCCGTGTTCGGGGCCGTTCATGGCCGGGCGCTGGGCGCGGCGTTGGTGTTGCCGGCGGCGGCGGCGCTGGCGGTGTTCGCCGGGCTGGGGCTGGGGATCGCGCTGCCCTTCCCGGCGATCGGCTTCATCCCCGCGCCACGGCGTCGCCGCCCAAGCCGGGATGTGGATGGTCCGGCTGCGCCACATCCTGTCGGTGCCGATGTTCCTGACCGCGCTCGCGCTTGCCCGGGTGCTGGGGCAGGAGGCCGGGGTCGGCGGGCATGACGTTGGGCCTGCCGCGACCTTTGCTGATCGCGCTCGGGCTGTGGTGGACGGACTGCGTCAGCATGGCGGTAAGGGGCGCGCGGGCTGGCCCCGCTATCGCGTCGCGCTGGTGCTGGCGGTGGGGATCGTCGACCGTCCGTCCTGCTGCCGCCATTGCCAAGGCCGCCTCCGCCGACACCGCCTTCACCGAAGCCAAGCTGGAATCCTTGCGCAAGGAGGGGCGGCCGGTCTTCGCCTATTTCACCGCCGACTGGTGCCTGAGCTGCAAGGTCAACGAGGTTGCCGCGATCGAGCGCTCCTCGGTGCGAGGCGTTCGCCGCAACAAGGTGGCGGTACTGGTCGGCGATTGACCGATGGCGATCCTGTGCTGGGACGTTTTATCGAACAGCATAATCGCGCGGGGGTGCCACTTCCTCTATTACGCGCCGGGAGCGAAGGAGCCGCAAAGTGCTGCCCTTGTGTGCTGACGCCGTCGATGCTGGAGAAGCTCGGGCGGTGCCCTGTAATTTCCTCTGCAAGGAGGTGGCGCGCGGAGCGCGACGGAGGGTGTCGCCCTCTCGATAGTGGGACACCCTCCGTCAGGCCCCGGTGGTTCGCCACCCCCCTTTAAGGAGGAATAGATGGAAGACCCCTTGTGCCCCGCCACCATGCGGTGCAGCATGGAACCCAGGCAGCAGGGGAGCGTAGCTACCGGATGGGGACCATCGCCGCGTTCGACGAAATCATGGGGACTGACGCATCGGCGCCGCGCCCCGAACAGGCCGCTTTGCAACGCTGGCTCGATCACACATCCCACACCGAACTACGCCGTCGCCAGCAATCGGCCGAGGCGACCTTCCGCCAGCTGGGCATCACCTTCGCGGTTTACGGCGAGAGCGACGCGGCCGAGCGGATCATCCTGTTCGACATCGTGCCGCGCGTCTTTCTGCATGACGAATGGGCGCGCCTGTCCGAAGGACTGGTCCAGCGGGTCGAGGCGATCAACGCGTTCTCGACGACATTTATGGCGAGCGGAAGATCCTGCGCGACGGCATCCTGCCGCCCGACCTGATCTTCGGTAATCCGCAATTCCGCCCCGAGATTGCGGGCATGCGTCCGCCGCACGGCGTCTGGGCGCATATCTGCGGCATCGATCTCGTTCTGTACCGGACCCGATGATTTCTTTCGTGCTGGAGGACAATGCCCGCACGCCATCGGGCGTCAGCTATATGCTGGAAAATCGTGAGGCGATGCTGCGCCTCTGCCCTGAGCTGTTCCGACAGTTCCGCGTGGCGGCGGTCGACAGCCATCCTGATCGCCTCCTCGCGACGATGAAGTCGGTGGCACCGCACGGCGTCGCCGAGCCGACCTGCGTCGTGCTGACGCCGGGCCATTAACTCGGCCTATTATGAACACAGCTTCCGGCCGACCCATGGGGGTCGAGCTGGTCGAAGCGGCTGATCTGGTGGTCGATGACGACATCGTCTGGATGCGTACGATCGCGGGGCGGGTGAAGGTCGACGTCATCTATCGCCGCGTGGATGACGACTTCGATCCGCTGGTCTTCCGCCCGACTCGATGCTGGCGTGCCTGGCCTGATCGCGGCCTATGCGGCGGCAATGTCGCCATCCTCAACGCGCTGGGCAACGGCATAGCGGACGACAAGGCGATCTACAGCTATATGCCCGATATCGTCCGCTATTATTCGGGCGCCGAGCCCAAGCTGAAGAATGTCGACACCCGAGCTGCCGCGAGCCGGAATCGCTGGCCTATGTGCTTGATCATCTGGACGAACCGGTGGTCAAGCTGGTCGATGGATCGGGGGGTTATGGGCATGCTGGTCGGCCCGACCGCGACGAAGGTGCAGATCGAGCATTTCCGCGCCGCGCTGATCGCCGAGCCACATCGCTACATCGCGCAGCCGACCCCGCCCTGTCGACGGTGCCGACCGGTCGAAAAGCGGCGTCGCGCCGCGGCATGTCGATTTCCGCCCTTCGTCCCGACCGGGCGCGAGGGTGTTGAGGTTACCCCTGGGGCTGACCCGCGTCGCTGCGCGAGGGCTCGCTGGTCGTCAATTCCAGCCGGCGGCGGCACTGGGACAGTTTCGTGCTGATGCCGCCTGAACAGGATCACTGGGGTGCAGACCCAGACCCGTGTGTCGCAAATCCAGATGCAGGGGGGACCGCTGATGCCTCGCGGACCGCCTCCTCGCTCTATTGGCTCGGGCGTTATTTCGAGCGAGCTGACTTCATCGCCCGGCTGGTCGAGGCGACGGTGCGGCTGACGTCCTGTCGCCGCGCTCGGCGGGGCTTGCGGCCCGGGATCGGCACTGCCGTCACCGACACCGCCAGCGCCTTGCCGAGGGCGGGCGCGAGTTGCGGCGGCGTGAGGTGGCGCGCTTCCTGACGGTCGAGTCCTGCTATCCTGGCCAATCGTCCGCTGCGTCGATATGGCGGACCAACGCCTGCGCGGTCCGGCACCGCGCTCACCCGCGAGGCGTGGAGTGATCAACCGCGCCCGGGCTGCATTTCGAGGCTGCCGGTGGCGGACGAACCCGGCGCGGTGCTGAGCTTGGTCGAGGCGGTGAAGAACGAGACGCGGGGTTTCGAGGGCGCGGTCCACCGATGCTGCGCAACCAGACGACCTCCGGGTTCATCCGGCTGGGCCAAGCGGTCGAGCGGGCGGACAACACCGCACGGCTGCTCGACGTCAAATATCACATCCTGCTGCCGGCGGGCGAGCGGATCGGCGCGTCGTCGACCGCGACCAGTGGACGACGATCCTTCAGACCGTTTCCGCCGTCACCGCCATCGTTGGCTCTATTCGGACGGGCTCAAGCCTCGAACGTGATCGACCTGCTGATTGCGCGCACTGAATTGCCGCGCAGCTTGGCGGCGTCGGTCGAGGAAACGGTGGACGTGTTAGCAGCTTGCCCGGCGCACGGGGCAGCATGGGGAGGCGGATCGAATGGCGAGACTACGCGCGAGCCGGATGAGCAAGACACGTTCAGGCGATGTGATCGCGGGCGGGCTCCACCAATATCCGAAGCCTTCATATTGAGAATGCCCAACTGCACGGCGCTATCGGCCGCCAGTCTGCCCGCCTGATGCGGATCGCCATCGAGCACCAGATCGTCCATCGGCCGCGAGCGCGGGGGTAGCGGCGTGGCCCAGATGCTGCGGCTGACCCCGACAATAGCGATGAACAGACCGTCGCGCATTGGCGGATCGACGTCGATTGCGATGCCCGGATGCGTGGGCCGTGACGGGTTCGGCAATGGGTGACGATGCTGTACATTGAGGAGCCGGTTGAGACGGTGACGATCACCGCGACGGGCGATATCCTGACCAGCGACGCACATGGCATCGTACGCGCGCACCCACGAGACGCCGCCGCCCGCGTTTATCTGCGCGGCACCTCCGCCACACCGGCTACCGGGGCGATCAGCGCTTTTTCCGCCGAGGCGGTCCGGGACTGCGATGGCCCCCGGCGGTGCTGGGTATAGCCTGAACGCCGCGATTCACCGCCGCTTCGCGATCGACCATGACCTGGGGTCGACGCGGCGGCCCTGCTGGGTGAGGCTAAATCGGGGCCGTGATCTTGCGCATCTCTTCTGCACCGGCGCGCGGTCGCCTGGGCTGCCGGCGGTTCGTGTCGGGCTTCGTCGCGCAGGGAGGATGCGGCGCGGCTGCATTGCTGGGCGGAGGCCTATGTCGAGGGGATCGGCTGGCTCGCTTTTGACCCGGCGATCGGGTTATCGCCGACCGACACGCATGTCCGGGTCGCCGTCGCGCTGGATGCGGCAGGCGCGGTGCCGATCGCCGGTGAGGCATGGAGCGACATGGTTTGCTGACGGACGCGACCCAATAGAGCGGGCAGTCTCCGCCCTTAGGGGCTGAGGCTTGGCGGCAGGCGCCCCATCTGCGGGTGACTATTCGCCTGCCTCGATCGCGGTTTCGACGGCGGGCGGACCACCGACATCCGGGGCGTCGGGGCAGAGCAATGACCAGCCGCGCGGGCCAGTGCCTCCAGCGGTTGATAGCGGGTCTTGGTACGCCATGCGCGGCGACCCTTCACCCAATAGCCGAGATAGACATAAGGCAGTCCCGCGGGCGGCGCGGGCGCGCAGGATGGGTCCATGATGATGAAATTGCCCAGTCCCGGCCGGCTTTCATCCCGGGTC